TTCCCTACAAGTATTTGTTTAGAAACATTTTTCATTACAGTTCATTCTTTGTATTATGTTTACTAGTGGTTTGCATTAAACCCCAGCTAATATTTGTAAAATGAAACAGTCCTTGATATTTAAGTTTATTTTCTTTAATATGCCTGTATAGTAGAAATCCTGAATTAAGTATTGCCTATAATATGAAGAATATCCTTTTCACCCTTTTAGAAAAGTAGTGCAATATTTCTAATCGTAGCATTAGTATGGTTAATAATAGTAAAAGAACATTGCATTGTTATTTTGAAGTGCTTGCCTGACTAGTTATAAAATGCCAAGTATTTTTAATGTGCATTTGAGATTATGGGAGGATAGAGATGTATACACACTTTTGTAAGGTAAGGATGTGCATTTTTTCTACCAGAATAGGACAGTCTGGATCTAGTTCTTAGATGACCACACCAACAAAAAATTCAGTCCTTTGTAAAAAGAAAAGATCCCTAAGTATTTTATTCAAATGAAGCCTTGTTATGTTCCTAAAAACAAATCAGCTTGACATTTTGAAGGGGGTATCATGTAGAAAGTACACACTTAACTATTTTACAGCTGAGTGTCTAGTATTTCTCTTTCTGGGTAGAGCTGTCCCAGCCCTCAGCAGAGCATCTGGCCTGCCAAGTGGAGCTGAGGAGAGTGGAACATTCTAAGAAGCTGGCACTGGATGAATTTGAAAGTCATAGGCAGGCTTTGGAAAAGCAGCTACAAAGCGAGGTAAATTATTCTTTCTGAATAATTTGAATTCTTTCTTCTTCCTGTCATCTTGTTCACAGTTATCTATTTACCTGTGCAGGCTATTTATGTTTTGGGTTTTTTAATACTCTGTTTATTTTTATGTAAGCAACTCTAAAGAAAACAAACCAAACACCACCAAAAAATTACCCCAAAAACCCCAACCAACCCAACATAACCAAAGTAAGTCTTTTCAAGTCATTTAGTTGCCAGCGCTGACATTCAGTAGGATACTGTTTGTATATGGTTTGACTGGACCTGAAAAACATTTAGGAATTAGTATTCAGCCAGTTGAGATTACTCTTTTTGTTTGAATTATGCTAGTTTTGTTTTTCTCTTGATCTCCTGTAGGTTGAGCGTTGTGCCCAGTTAAAGGCCCAGCTGTTAGACTCTGAAACTACTGTCAGGAAGTTAAATGTGCAAGTTGAAGAACTGAAACTGCAGGTGAAACAAACACAGGCAGGTTTGTATCTTACACTAGAGCAGTCCTTTATGAGACGTTCATTTACATTTCAGTGTAAGAATTTCCAAAAGCTTAAAAAACCTGCAGTTACATACAACTAATACAACACCAGTGAGTGGATTTGAAGTTCAAAATAAAAATCTATTTAAAAATTCAATTTAATAAGTACATTTATTACAAATGGAAAACATATGTACAGGAAGAAGGAAAAACATTCCTCCCTGACTACTTGCATGTTTTTATTATCTGTTTTTCCTCAGCATAAAGGCATTAATGTTTGGTGAGAACATAACCGCTGTTTTCCAGGAGGCAAGTTGTGTTTTGGTGCATTTTGATTCTTGAACGTTCATAATAAGAATAACTGATTTGAAATTGTATTGCATACCTCATAAACTTAAATCAAAATTTTGAGCAGTTATTGTCAAGGCTAATAACTCCTCATATGGGCATTAGAGAGGCAAAAGCCTAAATTACCTAAAGCAATTTATTCAGCTGAAGAAATGCCAGTTCTAAAGATGCCTATGTCAAATTGCTAATATCAAGTATGAAAAATACAATTTCAGGATGTATATTTCATTTAAAATTCTGCAATGATTGTACATTACATACAGCATGTGTTGCACCATAGTTCAGTATATCCATACTTTATATTATTTGCTAGACCAACATACACATTTTCATACGTAGTAGAAGTATTGGTACTATTTGGAATTGGAAATTTGTTAGTGTCAAAACAGCAAGTATAAATTTTAATTAAATGTATGAAGGTACTGAAGAGACTTTTATTTTGCATCAGAGTTAAGTATGTCATTGAAGAACCATTTATATGGAATAAAACCAAGGCTGTCAAATTACTGGGAAAAATACAGCCCTATTGACTGGTCTTTGAGCTTGCTGAAGTGTAAAAGTGCAAGCCAGGAAGCAGACAGCCCCAAAACATTCCATTTAACTGATAGTTGTGGAGAAATAATGAAAAACACCTGAGAACAAACAAACTCAAAACAACATTATCTATTTACTGTGTTGGTTTTCTCCACATTTTTTCTTCTTCTTCTTCTTTTTTTTTTTTTTTTTTAAAAAATCTAAGTGGAAGGAAACTGTTAAGACTTGGGACCTGCCCTGTATCCCTCACCCTTTAACAGCATGATTGGATATAATGTGTCCAAAGTGGTGACGATTTCATTTTTATTTTTCATTTAAGCATAATTTAAGAAATAACATTGTAGAGTGCACACTTTATGTAGTTTTACTTGGAAGAATTATATATTCAAAAAAATCAGTCATAATTTGAAGATGTGCAGCTACATTAAAAATACATTTAAATCAACCCATTAAATTCTCAAAATTAAACCAGTTCCATGTAAGAATAATTTTGATCAAATTGGAATTTGAATGCCGTGTTTGCCTGTTTCTATTTTGTTATCGTCTCCCTCTCTCACTGTTTACTGTCACTCACTTTCTTTTGCTATCATTTAGCTCTGGAAAATGAAGTGTATCGGAATCCAAAGCCTTCACTTGTTGATCGTTCTGTCCTTGACTTCACTGGTGACAGAGCTGTACCTCATGATATTTATGTGGATAGCACATTCCTAAAGAATCAGGTTATGACTGATGTTGTGAAGGTAAATGCTGTGCCAAGAGTTGGCTATTGGCAGCAGCTGCAGCCACACAGTGCTTCTCCGGATTCTGACCTGGAGTATATGGCACAAACCCGGGCTAGAATAAAAGAACTAGAAAAAGAGGCAGAGTGTTTGGAAGAAGCCTACAGGAACTACCGACGCAGTGTCATGCAGGATGCAGCTGCAAGCAGAACACCGAGAAAGATGCAGTCTCCTTTACTTCTACAGTGTGCTACTAATAGGCCACCCTTGACTGCCCAGCATGAACTTCTCGAGGATAATTCCAGGTCCCAGCATTCCTCTCTGAGCAGTCTTAGAGGTGAAAAAGACATCAAAAGAACTGGGTTGATTGATGTCTTTAAAAATCCCATAACGCCACCACACAGAAGAACGTCTGCTTCAAGATGCCTTTCTTCTACTCCTGTTTCCAAAGTGGAAAGAGATCTCAATAACAAGAAAGTTTCAGATGGTAAGTCATGATGAGAGCAGGCTGAGAGTTGGGGTTGTTCAGTGTGGAGAAGAGAAGGCTCTGGGGAGATATTATTGTGGCCTTTCAGTACTTAAAGGGAGATTATAAGGAAGATGGGGACAAACTTTTTAGAAGGGCCTGTTGCAGTAAGGGGTAATGGCTTTAAGCTGAAAGAGAGTTTAGACTAGATACAAGGAAGATATTTTTTACAATGAGGGCAGAGAAATTCTGGAACAGGTTGCACAGAGATGTGGTAGATGCCCCATCCTTGGAAACTTTCAAGGTCAGGTTGGATGGGGCTCTGAGCAACCTCGTCTGGTTGAAGATGTCCCTGCTCATTGCCAGGGGATTGGAACTAGAAGACCTTTAAAGGTTCCTTCCAAGCCAAACTATGATTCTGTGATTGTTAATGTGGTATGGTATTGGGCTTTTCCTTATTGTTCCTCTTGCTGCGGGAAGAGAAAGATTTAGCAGTGGTAGTCTTTCACTTATTTGTTAATTGCCAAGAGGCAGGAGAAGTTGGGAACAAAATATGCTAGCTGTTTGGAGTGTGGCTTCCTCATAGAAAAAGACACCAGAGAAATAGACTGAGGGAGGCTAAACATACTGTACTTCAGCTTTAAGAGAAGATTACGCCATATAATTCCCTGCGGGCATAACTTTATGATATGCAGAGTTTCATTTAAAAGTTGCAATTAAGTATAACTACTTTGCAACATTAATTGTAACTTCCTAGTTTTAATAACCTTCCCTCTGTATTCCTATACTTTCGTTTAGCATTGTAGTTAACGTGTGCAGCAGAAGACTGTTTCATCTGGCTTCTCTTAAATTGAGTTTTCCCATCTGAAAGGTCCAGATGTGCGTGCATTTGTTCTTTTTGCTGTGACATCTTTATCAAATATTCCTGAGCAATTGTAAGGGGGAAGGGATTAGTGTTTGGAAAATTGTAACTTGCTATTAATTTCACAGTGTCTAATAATTACTTAATCCTTTTTTTAAAGGAGCAGTGTTCAGAAAAGCAAACAACATAGAAAAGAATTGAAAATTAAACAACAGTATTTTGTTTCAAATCTGCTGTACATCTGCTTGTCAATGCAATTCTTATTATCCTAGCTCAAAGTGGATTTAATAGGATGCAAAAAAGAGATAGTAACAACACCAAAAAAAGATACTGAACAGCTTCTGCATGAAGGAAGGTTAAATACAAGAAGGGCAGCTTAGTTTAGAAAATAGTTGGCTGAGGTGGGCTGCAGGAAATCTGGAATGCAATGAGTGATGTAGAAAAGGTGAAAAGGGATCAGTTAACCACTCCTTCACAGACTCTAGCATCCTGGGAAATTGAAAGGAAAGAGAAGGAAGTACTTTCTCATAGCATAAGTCGTGGAAGTTAGTGTTTCAGTGGCAACAAATATAGGTGCAGAAATAAAACTTCATGGTCCGGAGGACCTGTCTTTGAAGGATGAAGGGAAGAAGTTTGTCCTCCTGTAAAAAGTTACTAAAAGTAGGAGCTTTTCTGCTTTTCAGAAAGCTTTTCTGCTTTCCCCTGCTTACTGTCTCCAATCTCTGGGCAGTAACACACATCAAGTAATAGTTTCTGAGGAGAAAATTCAGATTGTCATCTTATTACTCGATCAGTACTTTTCACCTTAATTATTACTTGACCAAGCTTCATACCTGATGAGAAGGAGCAAGGTTGGTGAGTCTTGCAGATAGCAAGCTATGAGCCAAACACCTCAGGTATTTGTCTTCTAGGAGAAAATCAGTAAATTCAATCCTAGATAATTTCAAAGTAGTAGTGGGTTGTAGTAGATTATGGTATGATTTGTGTGCCATCTGTCTTCTGACAGGCAGTATGTCTTACACCAAGGAGGCACTAAGTACTTACGTGCGTAAGTACTATGTGCTGTTCTTGTCCATTTGTTCTGCATGTGAAAGTTTGACAAGTTATTTTATAAAAGGTTGGATGTGGGTGAGCTGAGGGTTTCTACAGTAACAGGTACTTCTGATACATGAGTATGACGTAACTGCTGGGTCCTGTTATACTAGTGCTCAACTTCCCTACAGGGTGTTCATCTGTGGTGTGTGGGTGTAGGGGCTGTCTGGAGGTAAAAATCCATGGGCAGCCCCTAGACCCAATTCGGGTCCACTTCTGTACAACCATCTGAAAGGACTTCAAGTATAGGATTGTTAATAATGGCTTTTTATCTATTTCTTGAGCCAAATTAGCACTGACCACTGTAAAAGTTAGTCAATGAAGAGAAGGAAAAAAAACAGTACCTGCCTACTGAGTGAGTATTATATCTTGTGGGAAAAGTAATAATTCATAGTCTAATAATGAAAGACCTGTACAGCTGCACAAGAAACGAAAATTAATATTGAAAAGTAAAACTTAACCAAAGCATTGGTCTTTGCAAATTTGATTAAAAGCCTTTTATTTTAGGGAGTTTGGTTTTTACCTTGGTTTCTTAGGAAACTCAAGACTTTTTAGTTATGCTGTTTTCTTCTGTGCTAACTTTACAGCTGTTGATAAGAGGATAAAATCTTCAAAGATTTTCTTCCTTGCTTCATCTGCTATTTTCACTAATCTGCAGAAAAAATCTTCCAGGTTAAATTTCCTAAGGAAGCATCGCCTTTGGGAGACCTCAAGAATTATCTTTTGCTGGCTAGTAAGCACATCCTTAACTTGAAATCTAGGTCCATAACTGCTTCCTCTAATGACCAGCAGGGGAGAGATTACTTGGTGTTTGGCAGAGGGGCTGCAGTTCGTGGGGAACATGGGTGTATGATGGGGTAATTAAAATCACAGTTTTGTGAGGAGTAAGTTTGTAATGGTGAAGGCCTGTAAAGGAGAATTGCCTTCAGGAAAACCAAACCAAACCAACCCAAAATAAAGAAACGACCAGCACAAAGAAGTTCAGTTCAAAATCAAATGTTAGTTGTCTTACAGTGGTGGTGTCTGCACGGTCCAATTATGCATGTGCAGCCTTGTCTGAGAAATGGTAGGACAAATAACTGACTAATACTAATTGTGGGATTTTTATTCTGCAGACACCAGTTGCTCGTACCTTGCCTCTTCACAGCAGAGTGTTGACAAGGTGCTCTCTCCTATTTCAAAGCCATATCCACTTTCATCTTCTGAGTCTGTTTCTTCGTCACCATCCAGTCATGGCCAGAAAATCAGGTAACGTTGTTTACAAAGCAACTTTTTTAACCTACTTTTTAAAGAAACATTTATCTACCTGTTCACGCCAAACTCTTCTTAAGATGGGTAAGGATTCCCCTTCTTGAATATTATGCCTCAGAAGGAACTTGGTTATAAAAAAACCAAACCCTCCCCTCACATCCAAACACCTTTGGCAAATATGATTAGTATTTTTCATCTCTGTTAAATTTGTGCTTCCTTACAATGCAAAGTTATGTGCAGGGAAATATTTAAGTGCACTAGAAACTTCAGATGAATGTGGTGTATTTTTTTTTTTAAAAAAGTCTTATGACAAAGTAAAACTTGATTAATTTATGTAGTGTTCTGTAAAGTCATTTAACTGTTGTAGCTGAGCAAAGATGAAAGGTTAAAAAGATTCCCCCTGTTGGGGCAAATGGTAATGGCAGCAGTAGACCCAGGGCCTAAAAAGTCCAAAAGTGCTAGGCAAAGGACTGAAAAGTCTGGGGAGTGAGAAACTGAGACATCTTAAGCACGTGTTAGTTTAATGCAGATAGAATAAATTGATAAACATCCATCGCTGAAACTTAGCTTAAATTCTGACATTTAAGGATGTTAATGTGTAGAACTGTGCTTCTCTGCATTTTCAGGTTGTGCCACTTCAACCAATGTAAGTATTGCTTTGTTGCCATGTGTGCCTTCAAAGATAGCAGGTGGTTCTTTTAGTGTGCAATGCCACCACTAAGGCAGAAGTCATAAAAGGTTAGATGTTCCTGGGCTCAGGACTGATTTACTTTGTTGTTTTTCAGACTGCTGTAGATACCTACATAGATATAAGTCTAGGTTTAACAATGAACTTTTACTTTTGCCCTTCTTTGCTTCTGCCCCTCTTTTTTTTTTTTTTAAGTGTTTCATGTGTCAATGTTCTGACAAACCTTTGAAAGCAGGGTTTTCTATGGATTCTCATATTTCAAGTTTTGCAGGGCTTGAAATCTATTGTAGTGCTGAAGTCCACCCGTTCCATTGCATTTCCTTACACAGTAGACCACTTTCTGGCAGCTGAATAAAAGATTCATTGTTAATAAATAAATGTTCCATTAATCACTAATTTCAGAAAATGGGTTTTCCGGAGGTTCCTAAAAATGTTTAAAATCTGTTCCTAAATGTAAATCTGAGTTAAACAACCACTGACTTGTATGACTATTTATAACATGGATGAAAAAGTATATTTTTTAAGCAGTGAAGAATGTATGCATATATCCAAGATGTATCTGACTTTTCCTGGTGTCCTGTAACTTTGGAGCATGTTGATAAGTTAAAAATTTAGACTGTATACTGTTTAAGTAAGAACAGTGTCTGAGCCATGTTGCAAATGGGAATGTAAAGGTACTACAGTAGCCGATTAACTATTACATGGCATGTCTTATTCACAACAGTCCTATCAGACATCTCACCCTCATATGAATTACCCAAATGTGAATGTGTTTTTAGCAGTTTGCTGCCATGAGCTTTCTTGGTATTTGACAGTTTTGATTCCTCTAGTAGGCTTCTGTGCCATCCATATAAACGTGATCCCGATAAGGCTAACAGGAACTCTTGCTGACATTGTAGACTAATTTGAGAACAAACTTTGTTTCAGAAGATGAAGTTGGGTCTTTAGAGGAGTAAACTTCATTTTCCAATGACGTAAAATTATTTTTCATCTTTCTCGTATAAGAACAGGTGTTTTGAATACGCTTGATGTTCAAAAACTATCGAGGCTACATTTGATGCACACAAAACCCCTTAATAAAAAAAAAGGCCACTAATTCCTTGAGCAAAGCTATGTCTCTTTTATTGTGTCTCTGTTTTCACATCCGTGACCTGACTGCTGAGCTTTTGCTGATTGAAGCTGGGTAGTTTCTGCTACCTGAGAATTTAAATCAAGGCAGTTGTACATTCTCACTTCATTAACAAGCTGTAATGCTAACTTTGTTGTTGTTCTCTGAAGAGCTTGTTCATGTGCCTGTCTTGTAGTTTTCAGAATAGGAATTCTCCAGTCTCCTTTGTATATGAGAAAGAGATGATGGGTAGCAGAATTTTTCTCTTTTCCTTCGAAAAAGGAAAAGAGAACCAAACCTTTGGTTGGTTTAATTGGTGGTTTTTTGGTTTTTGTTTGGGTTTGTTTTTTTTTCTTTTAAGTAAATGAGTAACTTGGCAAAATTAAGCTGCATAAAAATGACTTCTCTTTCCCCTCTGTATCTCCTATTTCTATGTATGAAATTCTATTCTTACAGTCACTAGTGCCTCCACTCTCCAAAATTGAGAATCCTGAATAGGTGTCTTCAGAAAAAGCTCAAGTATTTAATTATTAATGTTTCTTTCTTAAGAGGAGAAACTTGGATTGGCCTTAACCTGCTAGTCATCATTCTGGATTTGATGGCTGAAGAAAGACAGCTTGTCCTGGGGCAGCTCTAGCAGGCATTCGTAGGGCTTTCTTACTTTGTTGTTATCAAGTCCTCAATAAATTGGACATTTCATGTAGACAGAGTCTATTCTGTGGTTAGAATCTGTGGAGAGCCTTTATGATCTTGGCCTTGTAAAGAAGCTGTTGGGATTTTTAGAGAATGGAGTTCCTTTAAGTGGCTGTCTTTTCTTTCCCTGCTCATTCACCTTTTCTACAGTATGTCTCAGATATCCTGTATTCCTCTGACAGACCTTACAAAGCGAAGGTTGAATGTTAACCTGCATGTTAAGGTGACATGGGAAAATGCTCTAGTACTGTGAGGGACTGTACTTCTTCAAAGGATGTTATGGAGTCCATGCTGCCTGAAGAGTGAATAGCATGAGCAAGTTGCGTTGCAGAGGACAGGCCAGGGTCCAGGCAGGAGGCAGAGGGTTGTAGTTGTGTTCTTGGGTTCCTTGGTACAAAGCAGGGGGGTGAGATCCCAATGCTTTTCTTGAACTTGCTGCTTTCACAAGGCCTTCCTAAAGAGAAAACATTCTTTTGTTGAGTATTTTTCAATTTCTTGTGCCATGGACTGTTTTCTGGTATATAAAATATTTGAGAAATGCATGTGTGGGCTTTTCCAGTTATTTACTCTCATTCTTAGGTAAATGCTGCATCATTGGTGTATTGTGAGATTAGTTTATGACCTGTAGATTTTAAGGCACAAAGGGAACTTCTTTGAAACGAAAATAAAATACAATGCTCTAACACCAGTAAGCCATGACAAGTTAGACCTATGTCAGTGGGGCAGAACAATTGCTTCTCTGACTACAGGAGCTCCTTGTTTATTTACGTTTCAAGATATGAGTGGTATGAAGGAAGACAATAAACACAGACAGGAAGACTGGAGTTATAAAGCAGATTATTATCTAAACTATTTCTTTTTTTATTTAGGGACAAAGAAACTGATTGTGAGGGTTATTACCAGTTTTAGGCTAAAAAAGTAATTTTGGATGTTAGCAAAATAGTTTAGATGGTGGTGGTTGTTCTGGTTTTTTTTTTTGTTGTTTGTTTTGTTTTGTTGGGTTTTTTAAGCTTTAACGGTAATTTTATGCATAACCCATGCAGTTTAATAATTTGGTGTTGACTGGCACACCAGTCCTGTTTTATGGAATATTGACATTAAGTACAGTCCAGGGCTTCGTTGCCAACTTTGCATGGTGGAATGAATTTTGAAAACTGTTTGGAAATACGTGTGTATACCTCTCTACATGGAGCTGACCTATTCAGTTTGCTGACTGAGAGGCAGTGTGTTGACTGTCTGTCTAGCAGGACATGGTACTGAAGGAAGTGGCATGCGTGTCCATGAACCTTGCATCCTTAAAAAATATTTAACACTTACTTAACTGTTTCTGTGAATGAAAGGCTAAAAGCATGACAGAATTCCAAAAACTTGAAGTTCCATTTACTCTGCCATATTTAATTTACAGGGTGTTTTCCCTCACTGACATTATTGAACTATCCTTCTGGCAATGCAGTTTTAGTTGTTTTTCCACCCATTTACAATTTTTTTTAAATTATTATTATTATTAATTTAATTATACATATTACATGTCTCATGGGGGGGGCATGTTTTGTTTGTTCTCCATTTTGCTACATAGAAGACCTGAATTCCTTAGAAATTGTAAGAAGAAACATATTTATGTGGTGGTGAAGAGCACCAGCTGGTGTGGAGTAAGCTCCTTTATGAAGTGCTGCTGTAGAATTTCATTAGTGACCTACACTCCTTTTGCTACTCTGGTTCTGGTCAGGGTTTAGTAATTGGGTCACGTGGGAGATACTGTTCTTTCACATTATCTTTCTGATGAGATAAATGGGGATTTAGAATGAGGGCACTAACCCCATTTTCATAGCACCCAGATTTTCACCCCTGCGTGTATGTTTTGCCAGACATCTAATCCTAATATATTTCAAACACATCTGTTAAGATGACATCGAAGTGGGAATTAGACTGTAAAACAGAGCCTAAAAAGGCAAATTTCTTAATTTCATTTGACTAAGTGTCACAATTCATTGTATTTCTCCTTTTTTATTACTCCTTTTTATGCTTTCGAGAGTGCATTTTGTTTTAATATAATGCCTTTATGTTATGTTATAGGCCTTGGGGAAAGGCAGCATGGAGCTGGCTGTCAGAGAGATGGGTCTGTCTTTTGGTGAAAGTTAGAGAACTGTATTTAAATACCTTAACCTTTGAGCCAGAAAGTTACAGCATTCTGGTTGCATGGTTTTTGTTTGGTTTAGTCTGTTTCTAAGCACACAAGTAGTGCTCATATTTAAATCTCAGATTGTTATTTGCTTAAACGTTTAGCATTTATATTTATTAAATTATTTATGTTCTTCCTTTTTCTTTCAGACTTCATAATCAACAAACAGATAAACCAGATTTCAGTGACATTCCCAAACCAGACAAACTAATATATGAGGACCTTGAAGAATGCATTTCTTCTCTTGAATGTAAGTGTTTGTGCATTTTAGACTGTTCGTTTAACACCTTAGGGCTTAATGGATGTGAGACAATTGTCTTGATGGCTTGAGACTGTAGTGGGAGAGAAAAAAATCTGACTGATGTTGGAAATAAGAAAAAGAGTCTCTAATGATGAGGGATTCATTTTCTTCATATTTGCACGTTTAGGAGGAGAAGGGTATGTAGCAGTAAGTACACACTAAAATTGAGTTGGTTCTGAATTTTGGGAACTTTTTGTTCCAGAATCTTGCATAACCTTGTTCTGATTAATGCATGTAGGTCTGACAGTTGTTTCAGAGTGACTTAAAATTGTGTGGTGTTTGGTTTTGGTTTTAAACAGTGAAGTGTACTAGTATATGAACTATCTCGAGGCTGTTTTGTATTTGCTGCATAAAGTAAAACTCCAAGGAGTGTTTCTTGTGGACCAATATCAGAGTACTATTACCAAGCTGTAAATTTGAAGATAAGTTTCTTGCAGCCAGTACATGTACTCTTATTGATATTTCCTTCAGTAACTGAGGCTTAAATAGTATTATGAATTAGGAGTAACTTTAGAAGTGTTTGTAAATGTGTGAAGAACAGTTGCAATTACGCTGTCATTAATCAGCATCTTTGAGTAGTTTTGGAACATGTGGTTCAGTTACTGAAAACTGAAGGTTACCTTTTTTTTTTTCTTTTTTTTTCCTTCCCTCTGAGGTCTGCATTTTATTTGTTTATCTGCTGATTGCAGGAAGGACTTTGTCATTATATCAGTGATGTTTTGCATGGCGTGCTATGCTTCCTTCTCTCTATATGCTGCAGTAAGCCTACAGGGTCAGTTCCCCAGAATTTTTGATGTAGCTGTGGTACTGTAGAAAAAGGAGGATAATTGAAGTTAATGCACTTTATAGCCATTTGTGTATTGAGAAAAAAATAGGCACACAGTTACTGGCTGTATTTCCTAGTTTTTCAGCATTTGAGTGACACCTTAATCATGGACCTGAGCAGAGTTCTGTCCTATGAAACTGTGGGTTTAAAGTAAGTGAAATTGTCAATGAGAAAGATGTAGACTGCAAGCTAAACACCTTTCCCATTTCTAAATTTTGTTAGGTCTGTAAAGTCTTGAGACTGGTGGAGATATGTCATTAGGTGGTATGATTGAATTCACAGTTGGTGAAGAGATTATAATTATTGTATGGAAGAGTCAGAATTACTGATTTCAAAGAAAATATCTCTAACTGGTGTGAGTTAGATCCTAGGCTGGCTGCTTCTTTCAGTTGTGGTTAGGTTGTGGTAGATGGAGTGATGCTGTTGCTCATGCTTCTGAACCTGTGAGTGTACAGCTTTCAGTGTTTTAAAAACAACCAACCCCAAAAGATACTGTTTGTTTGAACAGCAATTGTGCTGATACATTTTAGTGGTAACTAGTAGAAGCTGACGACTCGTCTATTCATTTCTTGGTGAAGTTTTACTCAGTATATTCATTATTTTTTAATTTATCTCATTTACTTGTCTTTTTAAATGCATTATTTGAATGTGAACCGAGTCTGTAGCCACTAATGGTTTCTGCTCATCTCATGTTTTAGTTAGATTTAGATTTACTTGTTTAATTTTGTATTAGAGACTTCTAGGAATACATTAGATATTTCACTTTTATCAAATGTGAGACTAAACTGGCATTTCCTTGGCAATTCAACCTGAGCAGATGCTGTGCCCAAGTAAGTTACCACTGTATCATTTAGTGATGTGGGATAGTTGAAAGGATGGTTTTAAGAGTTTGCATATGCTGATGATTTCTCAATCAACAGTACTTCAGTTGAGTCAGACTGCATCACAAGACAATCTCAGTATGCAGAAGGAAACCAGAATGGCTAAAAAGGGGAGCAGGTAACCCAGGAGGAACTCGGGGCAGGGGGAGGATAAGAATGTAGGAAAAAAAGTAAATGTAAAAAGTAAATGTAGAATAAGGTATCATTAAGGAAGAAGTTGGTAAGAGTAGGGAAAAAAAAAATGGAGTGAAGAAGATACCAGAAAATGTGGTGGAAGCCTTTTAATCCTACTGTGAGTGAGCTCTAGCAAGAAAAGATTGAAATTTCTGTTGGCAGTAATTGCTGTAGTTGATATGCTCGTCTTAAGGAAAAAGGCATCTTTTGCTGTCCACCCTTACATAAAGGAGTGAAGGTGTACAAAGATTGTTACCTTTTTGTCCTTTGCAGAGTAGTTAATGTAAAGATATTTTGTGCTATATTGTTTCGAGTTTGGTTTGTTTCCTTTGTTTGTGAGGTTGTCAGATCTTTAGAATTTAGGTATAATATTTATCAGGAACCTATTTGTGAAACGAATTTTTTGACTGAACATTACTTACCCCAGAAAATATTACTGATGCCTCATGTGGAAATAATGATGTTGATAACACTATAATTTAAACCTCAAGTTAAAGAGAGAGCAAAACATCAGAATAGCTTTTCTTCTGAATGTAAATAGCTCATCATTTTGATCTTAGATAAAACTTGCATAGAATTTACTTTCCCAGGTGAAGCTGATAGGACTTCTGTTGCTTTTGTAAGAAACTGAAACAATCTCGTAACTTAGCTAGGCTGACATTTTGGCAGACATTTTCTCTGATGCTTTCATCTATAATTCCTTTAAAATATTTTAAAGAGATTCAGAGCTTTCTGAGATAGAGGCTGATTGGTTTAGGTGTCTCGCTTTTCTTAATGAAATATATTTCAGTTTTATTATAATGTGGGAAACAAAAAACTGGAAACCTTGATAATATTTAAAGGATGAGAAATTTCAAAACCTTAAGGAGATGAGTGAGGTATCTGTACTATGGTACACCAAATGCTTTGAAAATGGTCTTGCGTATTTCAAGTTGGCTACCTAGAAGTAAAGGCTATGTCTGACTTTTTATTTCGCTTTGTTTTCTCCCATAAAATTGAGATAATAGCAGCCTACATGTTTGTCAAATAAATAACCAAGAAGCGGTTGAGTATCAATCACAGCAATGATCACAGAGGAAGTGCAGTATTGTGGTTTTGTGAATTCAGAGCCACATTGCACAGGGAGAAGAAAAATACAAAGTAGAATATGGGAGTTAGCAGTATCCATCCTGTGCACTGAAGAAAGCAAGGATCCTATTAAAAAAATAGTATGCAATCAAATAATTAAAGATTGTTTTATGTGCATAGGAAGTATGAGCTGAGCTGAACTTGGCCATGTAATTTTTATGTGACCTGTATCTTGATTATGTAAAGAAATGCAAACATTTTGATTTTCTGTTATATAGAATCATAGAATAGTTAGGGTTGGAAAGGACCTTAAGATCATCTATTTATTCATGAATCTGTTTTGGCTTTGTAAACAGATGTGTAATTTTGAAACTAACAATTCTGTAATTAAAGAAGCAAGTACAGCCTATGATAATTCTTAGTCCTCAGGGAAATGGCCAAGTTGAAGAGAAAATGCTCAATTAGTGCTGATATTTATGTGTTCTAGTTCAGCCATTCCCACACTTTGTGTCCATTGCTTTGCTCCACTATTGTGATTACAAAATAATGAAGCCATTGTTCAAACTTCTTCTCCAGATCAGAGGGACATTCCAGAGCAGTGTGAAAGTGATGCTTTGCATCCATCTGGGGACATCATCAATGGAAACCATGTCACAGCCACTGTGCCAGCAGAAGCCACTTCACTGCAGGACTTAAGTGAGTTCTCAACTCGGAAACAAAAGTGAAAACCCTTTTTAAATGTCAAATGTATAACACAAAAAGCCAAATACTTAACATTTAGTACGTATGTATGCTGGTGTGACAGAAAATTTGTCCAAAAGCCCTAATTATGTAATAAAGAGGAAAAAAAGTTTTCTGTTGCTTTACTGAATGAAGTTGACTTTTTCACCCTTGTTTTGGTTAAATTTGTTTATAGTATAAACATTTTTGCCACCCTCCTGTCCAGCTTTTGGAGGGATGATTTTGTTCTTTTCTCTTCAGGATAATTATTAAATATTCTTTCTGCTCTTGATAGAAATAAGACTTGAAAGACTTTAGGTTGTTGTGTTTTTGTTTTACATGTTTTATATAGTGCTCGTCTGGATTTTTTTTCATTTTTCTGGACTGTGTTTGCAAACTGTATTATCACAATGCTGTGATAATTCTTTTGGTAGATGAAGATGATGCCACTGTAGCATATGCCACTTTTCTAATTTTCCTAGGTAGAAGGATTATGATTATTTTTATTTAGAATAAAGCTTTCTAGCTTCTAACAATTCCCAGTATTTAGTTTGCCTATCTAATTACTATCTGAGTGCTGTCCTACTTGCACAGCTTCTTAAATATGCTGGTCACATCAGCAGCATGTCCTGCAATGATTTGCAATGATTTGTAAGTACTTTGCATTATAAATGTAAAGAATTGTATTCAACCATATTGCTGAGAGGGAAAGAATATAGCAACATGAACTTTAGGATAACAGAGATTTAATGAGGAAGTCCATGACAGGAATGAGAAGTGCATAGAGAGATTTGTCACCTGGCCTTTATTTTGGCTTTACTGTTTAGCTCTTAGGGAGTCATACCTCAGAATAAAAATGTTTAGAGATGGGAAGAAACATTACCAGATACCTAAGAATAACTTTGGTATATCTGTGTACAGTATATCCAGTTGTTTTTCATTTGCTAGTAATGTTATGGAGGAACCTGTTACTTATTTGTATGCTACTGTAGTAAATTACTGAACTACATAAATCAGATCACAGATGTTGAAATAATTTTTAACAGTGGTGCTGGATCAAAGACAGATTGAAGAACAGGATAGAGAAGTGGAGAAAAACTTGGAAGAAGAAGAAGAACAAGAAAGGAAAGCAAGAGAAGAAAAGGGAGAGAGAGAACTACAGGAAGCTCTGGAAAAATGGCAAAAGGAAGAGGAAAAGCGTAACGAAGAGGTGATGATTTAGTATTTTAACTTCTGACAGTAATGCAGCTTTGTAGTGTCGTGTATTTTAGGATTGCTGTGCATGTTACTTGGTTTAAAATAGACTTTATTCTTTAAGTGAAAGTAGTAGAGGCAAAGTTCTTTTATTATTAACCAGTCTTGCTAGAATTTCTCCTTATGCCAAGTAGCTTTTTTCACAGGAAGCAGATGTTTTTTCTTCCGTGCTTCATGCAACTGGAAGCTACAATTTTATGGCCAGAACCATGCTATTGGAACAGGCTATATAGTCACTGTCTTTCTGGTCTGGACTGTTCCTGGTGGGACACCACTGGAACATGTTACTGTCCATCTGTTCATTAGCTTGTGTCAGTGTATTTAGGGTACTTTCTTAGAAGCAGATGTTGTAAGGAGACCTTAAGGAGTTTGCTTAAATCCCTTTGAGCTGACACGGCATGTGTTGAAATGGTGGTGTGGACTTCTAGGACCAGTATAAAACTTGGTTTTTGCTCCCTTCCATTTCACCTTCCTCTTCCCACCTGTAAACCTTGGTTAATTTGATTCAGCTGTGCTTATGCTACCCTTCGCACCAGCAGACCAGGCCCTTCAAGAAACTGGCATACCTGTGTCAGCTCATCTTCAGTTCACATGTAGATGTCACACACAGAAATCTCGGGCTTCACAGCATCACCGACACCCAGACAGGGTTAGAGTGGGATTTCGTGAGTGTCATGTTTGTAATTGAAGCACTAGCTTAACATTTCACCTTGAACTGCATGTAATGGGTTTAATGCTGTTTAGACTGGCATGTTTTACCCACGTTAATGTAAAATCCTGCTTGTAGTGCAGGTATTAAAACATAAAGGTGGGTTTTTTTGAGCTGATCAGTATTTAATTTTGATTATGTGTCTTAAAGCAGATTCAAGACTCAATGAAAATAGATGAAGAAAAAGAAGATAAGGAAGGGGTAAAATCTGAAAACAGTAATTCTGGTGCTGAAGATAACGTGAAGGATCCTACTCCAAATCCATTAGAAAAATACATGAATCTAATTCAGCAAAGGAGGGCAAACAAGGTGATTATTCTCAAAATGGGGTTCCAAAAATAATATTGACTGAATTTAGGTCTTGCTAAGTATGCTTACAATGAAAACAGTATCCCCATTTTTATTTTTTTCCCTTCATTCAGAAGCTTTATCTAACAACCTGCAGAGATGAGTGTTTAGATTTGTATTGCAAAACCGTGTTGACTTTAAAGAACAAAATCTGAAACCTTTCTTCTATAAGGGTTTTTATTCTGTGTCCTGTGGGGAGGTTGGTTTGTTAGTTTAGTTTTTAGGTACTAGGACAATATTTAAACTTAAAAGCCCTCAATTTTTAGTTTAAACTGTGTTTAAATAGTTTGAATCTACACAGGTCAGTTTGTGTTCCACTAGCACAACTGAGAGAATTTTTTCTGGCAGAATGGAAAATTTGATCTTAAAGAACAGGTGTGTACGTGGGTGAATATGACTTTGATGAAGGAATGCAGCGTATGTTTGTTCAGACATTATCCAAACCTGATTTTTCCAAAGTGTCGTTATTCTAGATGCAACATAGCATTTGTAGAATTAGGGTATGTCCTTTGGATGACTTATTTTCAGGTAGGTACCTTAAAGTGCAGATTCTTAGAGTCACTTAAACCTTAACTGAAGAACCAATCACAGACAGTGTATTTATTTTTCCTCTTGGTTGCCAGGATTCAAAAGGAGAAATAGAAGTGTCACTTACAGAGGGATTTGGACTTAGTGAAAAGGATGACAGGTAAGGTTCATATATTACTATTCATCACTTCTGTTACTCCATATTAATAGCTTCAGTATGAATTATGGTTCAGAGACATCTGCCTCTTTAAAAAGAAAAATAAACCAGTGATCAAAACCAAATGTGCTGGAAAAATTGAGGACCCTTCCAGTTCTTAGACAGGTAAGCTGTGGAATTCAGATCTGGGCTTTATGTGCAATGATCTGTTTCAATAGCTGGGGCAATTAGAACTTTCTATCTGCAGCTGGGCAGCAGCTCTTGTTTCTTCACACAAAGCTGAAGTATGAGGTATTCTTCTTGGGTTATGACCCTGTGAAGGTTTGTCTGTGCTGCACGTTGCAGATAGATAGTCTGTTACTAGCACTGAATCTAGCTGTGAGTTATCGGGAACACTGTGGGCTTTTAACAAACGAGTTCACACCTTTTTTCAGAGATTTGGGCTGCTCGCACTGGATTACCACAGCTAGGGCATTTCCTTTGCTTCTTTCTAGACATTGATAAATAAGGATACGTAGTTTTTAGTTACTTGTTGGTTTTTAGTTACCAACACCCCTCTATCACATCTTTCAGTTTAATTGAAGATGTAGAAATGAAAATATGTATAAGCAAAAAATATGGAGCAGTTAAAAAAAAAATAAAAAATTAAATGCTCACTGCAACAGTGGTAATGATTCAGTAATCTGTGCCCTTAAAGTGCTGGTTTACATACCAGACCCTGCTCTGTGCTCCTGAATTGGTATGTGTGCACAGTTGTTTTTACTGGGTGAACACCACAGAAGGAGCAGGTAGATAGGTAGGTAGTATGCCTTTTTGGTAGGTAGGAGATGGCTCATTAAGGAGATGGTTCATTAAGGCCCAAGTTTTCACCCTTAAGGGCTTGGCTTATTTCCATCAGTTCATCGAAACAGTAAGAAAACTGCAGCAGAGGCAATCTCTTACCTTCCAAGTATTTCTGTTTAAGCTAAGAAACTGCTTTGGACTCACACCACTTTCCCTCCCTTCTATTCCTAATACAGCACTGCAGACATTTCTCATGGAGACATGGATGAAAGCTTCTGGTGAACAATAGCTGCTGCTAATTATTATCATTACAATGTTTTTAAAGCAGCTTTCTGCCTGTAACAAGTGTCAGGCACCAAGATTGCAGACTGTATAATTATAAATTAATAAAGCTGATTTTGAGCTGTCTCATCGCTTCAGCTATTAACTTCAAATAGCGAGTCCCAGTGTGTCACCAATGCAGGAGAAGGCCCGTGGGTGGGGCAAAAGAAGACAAAGCAGTGTGAAGAAATTAATCAGCATGTCCAAGTAGATTGGCTTTGGCACTGAATTCCTGTAATTTCTGTAAACAGTGACAGCTTTTCAAGTGGGGCCCTTCACC